AAAACTATGGCGAGTGGCCACCCCTACAGACTGGACAGGACCGGTTCGGGTGTGGGCTATGGAAGCACCGCATCCAATTTTCACAGTCACAGTTGCTGCATCGAATGGCACGGTGCAGACAGATGTCACAGGCTACGTGGCTCGTACATGCTAGGAACACAGAGGCACGTCGACCACAATTATAGAGGCATTGCCGTTCCAGCCCCTGTCTACAAATTGGACATGACATGTCGCGGTGCCGTACATTAGTACAGTACTGACTGTCATCATACGTATGGAAGCAAAAACTTGCATGGACTATCCCTGCATAATCCTCACGGCACAAGGCATGCGAACCACATGCTAGTTGAATCTCCGGTGGGTCATCACAAAATGGCATGGAGGCTGGAGCATCTTTCTTGGGCTTCCTCAGAATGTATTCCTTCTCTATGGGCAGACGACGACAGGGAGGATCGGTCCAACACGAGGGCGTTCAGCTGCTGCAGGATATGATCCGCAACAGCTCGCCCTGGTAGTGATATACTATGAGCACATCGCTCTGCCAGTGGTTCATATAGAAGTCTATTTTCCTCCTCGGACTGCTGTGTTCGTCGTTCGTCTGGCATGAAAGAGGGAGACCCGTCAGCGGTTGCCATAGGTGTATGACCAACACCGCATGTGGGACATGCTAGGAGAGGATGTGGAGGGAGATGGCACCGGGGATAGTCCACGCAGTAAAGACACATACTTTCTATGACAGCTTCCTGGAAGCATTGACGACACATGGCATGTTGCTGACATGTCATTAGTATGGAAGGCTGACGTGCACAGTTATTTAAGCATGGCAAATCAAGGCCACAACGGCATGCTGGGCAAGTAATCAGGGGGTGGGGGAGATGAGCACAGGACAGGGGATCACAATTTTCGTGTGAAAAGCTAGCAGCGACCATCCCTTCATAGTGTTCGGAGCGTAGGCTATGTCGTGTACATGCCAACTGAACTGCACCTGTACGACGACACAACAGGAGGGCACAGCCATCATCCTGTGGAGAGGTCCTTTCACTGTTTGTGGTAGAATCAGCCGGATTGCTCTCCGGGGGGTGCAGTGCTTGCAAACGGTCATCGACATACTGTTCCGGATGGACGAGCCAGACTGAGTGACCCTCCAGCATTTGGTGATAGAAAGAGTTAATATTTCCCACTGTGTGCATGTGTGTGTGTGTGTGTGTGTGTGTGTGTGTGTGTGTGTGTGTGTGTGTGTG